TTGACTCACAGCCAAGTTTCTCAATACAGGAGTTAGATGGAGATTTTCAGAAATGCTCAGCTGCCACAGGCAATAATCCAGTGGCTACTTTGTGCCTGTGAAAATCTCATCTCCCTCCTTAGTGCCTGCAAAGCACCATTTTGCACTGGATTCCTAAACAGAAGCAATTACTCTTGCCTTGGCAGTAACACAGCTCTTACAGAAAGCTAGGGCTGCTTTGTTTCCTCCCTCCTGTTTCCTCCCATGGAGCTATTTCTTTAATACAAGTTTCTGTACAATGCTTCCAGAACTTGTGCTGCTATAAAAATCTTACTTCAAACCATCTGACTCTTATTTCCCTCTCACTATATCTGAAAAAATTATTTTATGATATCTGGGGCTTATAATAGATGGGATGCATGCCAGAGGGAACAATAGGAGGAAATGAAAGATGAAATTATTAGCCAGGAGTTAAACAGGAGATGAAATTACTCTGAAGTGCTTTAGATATGAGAAGTTCTTTGTTTTTGGAAAAAGCAGGAAGATTCTTGAGACCAGTTCTGGGTGGAGAAAACCTCCAGATAAAGAGACAATTGCCATCCTCTTGCAATTATTGCTGTTCCACCCCAACATATTCAAGGATAATTCCTACCCTTGCACACCCACTGCATTGCTTCTTCCCTCACTTCCCCCTGTTAGCTACAATTCAGCAGTCTATAACAAAAATGATAGCAACAGAATAGGCAAAGTCATACTCTATAACACAAAAGAAAGCAAAGTTTTTGGAATGCAAACTCAAAACAGCGGCCACAAATTCTCCTGATTTAATCCTGACCCAGCCTTCACACAGTTCAACCTGGTCTAGCACAGCCAGCAGGCTTCACTCACCACTGTGTTGAGATGGTGCTCACGGTACTGGACACTCCTCCTCCTCCTTCACAGGTCAGCTTCCTCCTACTGGGGGCATACATATAATTTAGTTGCATTTGTTTCTCCTATTTAAAACCTCCTTAGCAGGCTGGAGGGCACCTGTGGCCATTGGGTACTCATGAGAACCTCCTGTAGCCAAGGCTGTTTTATCAGCATTGTGCCCAGCTGGTTGGATTGAAAGAGAAATCAATGCAGAAAGCTTATCTTCAGCTGGAGAACCCAGCTCTGAACCTCAGGCTGCATATATGCATGCTTTCATAACAAACTAAGGCACAAACCACAAAGTTCTGGCTTGTAAGTTTGCATGTACAAGGGGAAGGGAAACTACCCTAAAATCTTTCATGAGTGTTAATGTGACCATCCACACCAGCTGAGCTTCACTTGCTGGAGCTGCTTTAGAAGGTGCTTGCACCATGCTTATAGCAGCAAAATACTTTCTGACCACAGATATCACACTTGCCATTGGCCTCTGGAGCAGCCCAGGTTAAACCAGGCAGGAAGGAGAGAAAACAAAAACCAAAAGTAGGGAGCTGGGTGTTCTTTAGTGAGTCTGCAGCTCATTAGAACAATGAATATGAAACCTGAATTTCCCTTAGCTGAAGCTTCAGGTCAGGGCAAAGTATTTCTAAATGAGCCAGCAGACGAGCTATTTTACTTCCTATGCCATTTTTCATGCTGTGCTATTGATTTTTATTTGGACTTTGCAGATATTTTTGTACACTGGATTTTTAAGGCTATTTTTCCCCTTGCTCATTAATAATGCTACCCAAAGTTGAGCTACAGCTGCAGTTTCACTAAAGTTTTCTTGGAAGAAGCAGTGGTCAGGGTGACCTTCATTTGACACAGCGAGTAACATTCATTTCCCTTACAACCTGCTATAAAAAAAATATAGCTGTTACTATCAATGTTCTCAGCGTGATGAAGGCTGTTAAAAAAGTTAAAGTTATTGTTCATCTGCTGAAAGGCAGAATTCCAAGAAAATGTTTATTGCTCACTATTCAAAGGTGAAAAACTTTCCCAAATATAAATTTCTATCCATGCTGAGAGGTGGGAGTTGAGGATAACAAGGCATGCTCCGTGATGTTTGTGTTTACAGCTGCTGTATCACATGTGGCTCTGCCATGCTGGGCACTTAGCACCAGCCCTGCCCCTTCCATGAGCTTAAGAATCACAGTTGCTTATCTGCAACCACTCTTCTTGCACTGAAGAACGCGTCTTGCATCTGCTCCAGGTCCTGTAGTGATAGATCTATTAACTCTTCGGTGCCTTCCCATTGTGTTCTGGGAGCAAGCAGAACCTCTGGGTGTTGTCAGGCCTTTAGTAGCTTTGTAAAGCCTTGCTCCGAGCCCAGCTCCTCTTCACAACCTGAGAATGAACCCATTTTTACAAAATTTCCATGTAATATATCCTCAATGGGCTTTTGACATAATGTTATGCAAATCTTTTCTTCCTTAGAGAAGAATTGAAGAAAATAAGCTGAGAACTATTCCAGACAGGAATGTTACGTGTGAAAAATACATTAGAGTAGTTTAAGAGAGGATATTAAGGATGAATCTGAAACAGAGCATTATTTCACAATAAGTAATAAACCATCTCTGGTGCATACTTAATTTACCTGTTGAAGCTGGAAAGCATATATTCTTGTATTTCTTAGCACTGCTCTTTGTTGCATAGCATACAATTTTTGGCTCAATCAGTGTCTGTGAGGAATATACCATGAATGGTCAGTGAGTACAGGAGAAAAACTAGGTGAAGGCTCAATGACTGGGCTGACACTCAACACAGTAACTACCACAGACACTGTCACTTCCAATCTGCTTGGAAATATGTTCTCAAAACGGAGTAAATCTCTATTCCAGCAGTGTTTATTTCTGCAGGTTTTGCTTGTCCTTCCTCTTAATAAATGGTGTCTGCTCTCCCTGGGTACCCTTTTGCTTTGTGTGGTCTTCTCTGTATTTCTGCTGGTATAAATCACACTGTGCTACTGAATGCCTCTGCAGAAGGGGTATGGGCATGGTCACTGTGTCCAGCATCATCACCTGTTGGTTTTCATGGAGGAAGCCATGGATGCTGTATTGCAGGAGCTGGAGGACTCAACCATATATAATACCTGTGCACAATAAAACCTGAAAATCCATCCCAGTCACATTTCTTCGGTTCAGCCTTAGCCATCTCCTAGATTTATAAGCCACTGCTGAGCAATTTTGTTCATAGAAAAGCACCCTGGCTAACACCACCTTCGCATGCAGCATGATGCTTTTGATTTAATCTTGATAATTGTTTTTGTCCAGGAATTCAAAGCTCACTTGTCAGGGGCATTGATTTATAGCACAGGGCACGAAATAGCCAGATTCTATTAAGAAGATTTGCAGTTACGAGACTGAAGTATTATTTATTGAGGTTTCAGTAGTAAATGGCAACTTTTCATCCAGCACATGTGAGTGGGCAAGCAGTCCGTGTTATCCATATTCACTGCGATGTTTCCTTTTATTTATATGTCTGTTCTCACCAGATTTAAATAGGCAATAATTACAGGTAGTTAATGACATAAATTTAAAGAAGACTTGAACACTCTCAACTGTAAATGGAAAGAAGGCAAGAGGGGTAAGCACTTCTAGCATATCTAACACCTGAATCTCTAGACAAAAGGATACAGGACTTACCAGCTCTCAATTTAATCAGCCAAATGCTCAGAAATACATATGTTGAGCACTGACATACAACATTTATTTTTATGGGTCTTAAGAATATACACATATATGAACATGAATTGCCTCTCACACACCATACACTGCTGCTTACCTGCCCCACTCGTGGTTCCCATGCATGGGCACCATGCTCAGCTGTGCTGCTTTACTTCCCTCTTGTCTCCTTTAAAATCCAGCCTGTGGCATATCTGCTTTTTCTCTCTGCTTCCACCAGAGTGTAAACGCTCCAGGAGAAACGGCTTATTAATTATTTGTCAATTGGAGTTAATAAACAAGGGAAGACCCATGTGCACAAGGGAGAGGCAGCAGAGGACCTGGTAGGTTTGAGGGGTCAAGAAACTCTGCGGAGCTCAGACAGCTCCAAACAGATGTTATGCAGACAAGATTTACATCTTCTGGGCTGTGACACCACTCTTCCCTGCTAACCATCAAGCTGGAGACACTGTCCTTCATTTACTGCCTCCACAAAATGCAGAATTTCTGGATTTTGAAGGATTTGGTTGTTTAAATGGATTCACAGACTAACTTTCATCAACTTGATCTGGATATGGTCCATTCCCAGGTTAAGGTTTTGATGACAAAACATAGACTGTAAATCCACGCTGTTTGTTCAGCAGCCCATCCCTTACACAACAGAACAGCAGCTGCCCTGGTTCCGTGGCTCTGGACAGTCACATACTTGAGCCATTAATTTCCCTCTCTAATACAAAGGCTTTTATATCCCATGTTGGAGGAAAGCTCGGGTCTGAGATAAATACTGCCTTTTCCTCTGCACCTTACTCTGAGGTCCCATCATTTTTCACAGTCTAAACAGGAGTAGCCTATTCCAGAGTGCACTCAGGATCCCAATGAGCAGCACATAGGAAATGAGGGGAAGGATGCTGGCAATTCCATGGCATCTTTTATAATAGATGGGGTCTTAACCCCAGTGTCCTGGATAAACTCCAGTTCTGGTAATTGCATTCTGCATAGTTAAAATCCCCCTGCAGTTTCAAATGAATCCATTATTCTTCACTTCCTTTTCTAAATTGCTGTGCAGCCTTGCTTTGTGCAGCTGAAGAGTTGCTTTGTTTCACCTGAGGGATGATGGCATTTCATGGCTGCATGAAATGGGCCCGAGTGCACAGTTTGTACAGCGGACAGGGAAGCACTTTGGGATTATTCATAATTAAGTATCCGCTCCCTGCAAATGAATGGGTTTGGGTGAAGCAGCACAAACACAAAGCACTGCTTCTCTCTGCACTTGGAAGTTGGTAATATAAAACGTATAGGGCAGCAAGAGACAGAAGTTCCTAAAATTCCCCTCAGCCAGCAAAGCATGAGAGCTTCAAGTGACTGTCTCAGCCTGTACTTTCCCATATTGTTATTGATTAATTGCCCTACTTCAATTTCCTTGTTCTAAATGGAAACATTACAATCGTAACTCCAATCTCTGGCTGCGGTACAGACTGATTTTAAATCTTTAAATCGTGTCAGTGGGAGGAGGTGATGGGGGGTGGAAGGAAAGCTTTTTATTCTTATTATTAATCTTCATGTGTTTCAGGACTTATTAATTCCCCCCAGATGTAGAGAAACCACGAGGTATTTCTGCTCCAGTTGAACCCAGGAGATCCCTCAGCATCATAAGCTTGCTCTCGTTCCAGCAGTGTGTCCTGGTAAGAAACAAAAGGATATTCCACAAACATCAGAACATGCCAGGCTTTCTGGAGCAGAGCCAGTGGCCTTTCTCAGCTCCAGCTGGTTGAGTTATAACTTTGTTCCCCATTAGGATTTGGGCTCAACCTTATTGTACTCAGTGTCTGCGGCTTTGCAAGAATGCAACAGTCATTTTCTGAGCTTCCAGCCTGTTCTGGAAGGAGCTGATTCCACCTCATAGCTCTGTGTCCCATGCAAGAGATGCTTTCTAGGACAAAAGCAAGGGAGAAAAATTGCCAGGACTCCTATACTTAGAAATAGCATCATTTAGATAGTATTATTCCCCAACCCAAAAGTGTTACCCAAAAAGCAAAAGGTCAATAGAGAAGTGTAAGTAGATGGCTTCTGCTCCTTCTCTTCAGGGTAGGTCCCAGTTGCCTTTTTGGCATTATTTTGATGTAGGCTAGGAATGAAATCAATAGAAAGAGTATAGAAAATTAAGTATGATGTGGCATCTTGAATGGAAAAGTTTAAGCTGAGACAGAAAATGGCAGTTTAGGAGCCACATATGCATCTCATTTAGAAAAAAAAATCTGTACTCTTATTAAAGCAGCTGCAATGAGAGTATTAGCTACAAATTAGGTAGGTATGGGGAGCAAGCTCTCTGTAGTGCATGGAGGAGGAGCAGCATGTTTTACACTCGGAGGCAGATCAAATGAAAGATGAAAGATTGGAGTGCTAGGCAAGGTCAGCTCAGGACCCAGCTGAACTTCAATGGTATTTTATACATAAACAATACTATATCCACAAACCACAGCATTTTAAGAACAATCTTTCAGCAAAGAAAATGTCAAAGCATAAATAAGGTCTTTCCCTGAAGATCTGGAGGGACAAGGGACCCAGAACGATCACCAAACTGCAGTTGACAGTGTGCCTCCTGATGCCACGATGTGCACACACAGCACTGCTCCCACGTGGCTGAAGGGGAGCCCCAAAGCCCAGCTGTGGATCTGAGTGCTCTTCCTGCCCCATCCATTCCTTTCCTTGCGGAACGTGGGGCTGTTCCAAGGATCCCCTCTCTCCCCTCCATCCCCAACTCTTTGCTGAAGGGTGGGTGCTCTAGAAGAGGAAACAAGCAATGGATTTTCTACTCACAAGCTCCTTTGCCATGTCACTCAAGCTCACTCCACTTCCTCCTCCTGGAAGGAGGTAATATTCCATCCTTATTATATTAGCATATTATTGGTTAGTACAATAGATTAAAACTAGCTTAAGAAAGATAACAGAATCCTTTCATATGGCTATGAGAACTGGCTGGAGAGAATGCAGGATTCTTCCTCAAGCCCAGCTCCTGGTCGGATTGTAAAAGATGGTATTTTCACCAGTAGGACTCCAAGGATTTTGAAAGCTTTCCAAATTTTTTATTTTTATTTTTTTAACAAAACCAATAAATGAGTAGTACGACTCATTTCCCTGTTCTCTGCCCTTTTTGCCTTCTCTTTTAGTATGAAAAGTTTTTTTAAAAATAAAGGGAAGCAGGAAGCATAAATGAGAAGCTATTCTGGAGCACATCATTCTGATTAAAAGTCCTGTTGGATCTTCAGATGAAGGATGTCCTTTTACTGATGATGTGGTGGAGAGAGGAGTGTGGAAGACAAGTCACAGGAACAACTCGTGTGCCTCCAGCCTCAGCCTCACAGGGTTAATTCCATGGGTTGGTTAACCATCACAAGAGCAGTATTTACACAGCCACCCTCTGTGGGAATCACACAGTACCCTTTTACCTAGTATTTATTCTACACAGAAGTATGTACACCCTGTGATCCATTTTAAACTGCAATCTCTTTCTGATAAGTTAAACAGATGGAACTTTATGAATCTCAAACCATAAGGTACATTTTCCTGTATTCACACATCACTATGGCTCTTTCTGGCATCCTTTCCAGTTTTGCAGCTTCCTCTCCGAGATGTGGAAAGCAGAACTGTGTTCACTCCTCCAGCCTTGCTGTAGAGGTGACACCACTCTGTTCTCCTGCATCCCTGCCCTCAGCAGAGGCACAGCACTGCAGCACCCAACTCTTGGTTTCATTTGGTTTCCTTTCAAGAGAGGAGACTGTTTCCATTCAGAATATCAATTAAAAAAATAAAAATAAAAATCATCAAATGCTTTTAAGACCTGCACCTTTTATTGAGTGTCAGGGGAGTAGTAATTCCTGACACAGCAAGTGAAGTTGTTTTGAATCCGGACCGATTAAAATGATCTTATTTAGCAAGTCGGTTTAAGAAAACATCTAGCATGGAATGTTCCCCCTTGTTCTCTCCAGAGGAAATGCTATCTAGGCATATGTCTCAAGAAACAGCTCAGTAGTATTTCATACTACATGAGAATTCCTGTGCATTTCAAATTATCCCTGGTGATACGTATGGATTCTTCCTCCTTAAATAAAGAAACTTGCCTTGCAGTCACAGCAGCTGTCCATGCCATACCAACTAACACGCTGCTGAAAAGAGGTCACCTTTGCCTTCAGAAAAAGCTACTTCAGGAATTTCCATTCTACCATCACCTGATTCCCTGAGAGGGAAAAAAGCTCACTTTAAGAGACAAATTTACAACTCCCAGTGATTCTGTTTCAAACCGTTAGTTCCTCAACGCTGCGGCCATAAAAGAGCTGTAAAAACAATTGCTTGTGAGAAGCCCTCGTGCTGCCCCATGAGTACTCAGCTACTTATTTATGATTGAGACCACAGAAGAGGAGCAGAGAAAAATGCCCTTATACACATTCCTTGGAGCAATCCTTTCTCTATAAGAAATGAGCATTAATTTACTATGTAAATATAATTTAGGGTCATTCTTTAAAGCAGAGACAGTTACACAGGGATGGAAATACAAGCTCTCATATAGGTTGAGCAGAAAAAAAAAAAAAAGATGTGTTCTCAGAATCTGATGCAATCCATACTTTAATGCCCAAGACAGGCCCAGGGATCTCAGCAAATGCAATTTAAGAGGTAATTGAAACATCAATATATATCTCTGTATTATTTTACTTGCAGTCAAATCATTATTACAGCATATGTCATCTGAGCTGGCCAAGAGATCAAACATGACAGCATTCCATAATCCACATTGACAAAGTGGGTTCAGGCTAGATGAGTACTGATCCCACTACGGCCAGAATGGCTCTGAAGTAGCCACATCAATAGTGACTGAAAGTACTACTGAAAACGGATCCACCAAAACTCACATGGAAACCTCAGGTAAAGCTGGAGAAACAGAATAAGGCATGATACGTAACCTTGATGTTGCTTTTGCTGCTCCAAGGGGCAGCTCCAGGATTTGCTCCCAGAGCTGAATCCAGTCTGTGTTTTGGTCAACCATCATCCTCAGATGAAACAACCTCAGTGAGTGACTGAGCATCCTTCATGCAGCCCCACTGCTATCTGAGCATTGCACATGGACACATCAGGCAACCCTTCTGTGAGAGAACAGATGCCAGCACTGCTTTGGAGTTGCGTGGGCTTTCAGTGCAGAATGATCCAAGTGCCCAGCAATTTGGCATGGGACACACAAGATCTTGAACTGGGTCTTCTCAGCATCACTACAGTACAAATACTAAGCAGTAGTAAATAAACCCCTTTTCTATTGTGAGCACAGTGTGTTTTGAAGCGTAGTTTTTGATGAAGATTCTATAACAGAAATAATGTAAGATTAATTTATAAACATTCATCAATTAGTCTTCCTATTCTCAAGAAATATTCTATTTATCAAGAAAATAGTCTCATTAGACTCTGCACAAACCAATTATCTCAGGCTCATCATCTTTCAACTTTCATAACTTCTTAATAACTGTGGAAGAGAAATTTTTAAGTAGCAATTACTACGTGATCCAGATATCATGACTGTTGCTGACTAATAAAATCCACAGTATATTTGTGGCATTGCCCTTAAACTTCTTTTCCTCTTGTAGTAAAGAGTCACCCTGCACGAACTCTCCAGTTAGCAAAACAGATACAGCAAATGTATATATCTATATGCAACATACAGAATATATGGACATACATATGTAATGGTCTTGTGCAACCCTTTTCCACTCAGCAAAACCAGGGAAGATTCCAAAAGGTGCAGCTTAAAACTATAAATCTCCCAAACTAAACAGCTCCAGGCTCTAAAAACTCAAGAATTCATTAAAAACATCACGACATCTTAAAACAATAACTTCGACATTTTAAAGGCTGCAGAGTCTTAATTTGCCTTCTGAATTCTAGTCTTGCATCTCTGCATGTTCTACTTGCGTTCTGGAAATGTTTTAGTGCACTAAATATTTACTTCTTTCGTCTCCTTTATTAAGAGTGGAGATTCTCATGAAAAACCACAACAAATTAACCTTGAATCATCCGACAGTATTCACCAGCAGCAAGTCCTTCAGATTGAATGAACAAGGAAGATCACCAGCAGCTTTCAGGTAGGACACAGATGACAGGGGGTTATTCATGCAAATCCTGTATGATGTCTATTATGACGAGGTCCCTAAAGAAGGGCTAATAATGTCTACAGAGAAAACTGTATCTATAAATCACTTGGGAGAAAGAAAAACTGCAGCATCACTTCAGGGACTGCTTTGAGGATCTGCCTTTGAAAGCTTGCTGCTTACCAGGGAGAGATAGTGATACTCTGCAGGAACTGAAGCTAAAGAGTGGGCACCCAAGAACAGAAACAAAGGAGCAGAGGGGCATCAAATAGCTCAAAGACAACTTAGAAAATCTGCCAGGTGCTGAAGGAAAAACCACTGCTCCCAGCAGGCAAGGTTCACCTTTTCCTTACCCAAACAAATGACATTCACATCCCAGTGTATCAGCAAGAGCAAACTGGCAGAGTGTGATGGATTGCCATAGCTAAAGGAAGAAAAAGGCACCAAACTGGCTGTCAAAGAGCAGGACTAGAAGACTGTAGCTGGGACAAGCCTGTGCACAAAATGCATCCCCCAGGCTGAGCTTTACCACCCACTTCGGGTGCTCCAGGCAATAAACCCACAGGTGATCCTCAAACATCCTTTGGGCACTTCTGTCACACCTGGGGCATCAATCTACTCCACAGTGCTCCCTCTCCTCCTGTTACAACCTCTGCTGATCAGTACTTTCTCTTGCATTTCAGGCTGTTGTGCAACGCTGCTCTCTACATGGCACCTGTAGTGAGTGGAGCGAGTTGCTACCCCTGGGTGCTTTATAAAACTGTGGGATGTCCAAGGATGCCAGTGGCTGTACACAAGCAGGAGCTCAATGTTACTAGAACACCATCTGCAAACAATGGTTGCTAGGAGGTAAATATCAAGTTTAAAAACCTGAAAGGAAGCAACAATTTCAGGTCCAGTTTGAGGCTCATCGAGGTCTTTCTGTTGACTTTAAATAAGGTGTAATCCATCCTGTAGCAAAGGTAGTGGAATTTTTTAAAAAGAAGTAAAAATAAACGTCGCTCAGATGATTCCAGGCAACAAAGGCTGGCAACAATTAGCCGCTGGGAAGGGAGAGTGAATAGGGAAAATGAAAGGTGACAGCAAACAGCTTTAGTGAACAAACCCCCCCCCAAAATAAGGAATTTAGCTGAGAACAGCTAACAAAATAAAAAAAAAAACCACCAGACCTCAGGTGAGGCTGTCCTACCACCCACCCCACCTATACTCATTTTGGTACCTTTGTTTCTTTTTATTTTACTTCTTCTAATTTGCTTCTTGGTCAACATCCTTATGCAACACACCCAACACAATATGCACTGCACCCAGCCTCCCCTGCTTGCCCCAAGCACAGCACTGCTTGGGAACCTGCACTGGCATTTTAACACTTATATTTTGTTATTATTTTGTTTATTTTCATTAAGAAGACAGAAAAATAAGATCAGTCTGAAGCATATGTCTTCGCTTGTGATTGCTTTGACAGCAGTTTCACTGGGATGAGAAACATATTGCAAAACTACTTAAAAAAGTATTTTTAGCACCTCCAGAAACTCCCTGGTGGGATTTCAAAGTCTTTGCTCACTACAGAGATATTTACACCCACTCCAGTCCTCCAGAGAAGAATCATTTCCTCAGGTTTTGACTGTGCTCAATAAAAAGAGTACATCTCTTTTGTTAGCGAAAAAAAATACCATTGCAATTTCCCCAGAAGAAAATTGCTGTGAACCTCACCTACTGAATGCTGATGTGACTCTAAGCAGTGTCATATAGCTCATCCAACACCAAAGAGCATTCCTCTCCTCTGTGGAAACAACACAGTTAACTTTGCTTCACCAACCAAAAAAAAATGGTTGAGGATAACTACCTAGACAAGCACCAAAATGCAATTCCTTCTCTAAATAAAGCTTTCCAGCTTCAGCAGACATCCAATAATTTGTCCCCCTAAGATGAGTAAAGTTGCAGGGTCCTCAAAAATTGAATCTGCGCTGTGTGAGTGGGGAACTGAACCACAAAACTCAGCTCACCTGTGTGGGACTGAGAGCCACAGGTGTTACAAACTCCATGCACAGATCCCAGCCCCCTGCAGTCATCACTGCTCTATGTTGTCATGGGCTGCTCTGAAGCTCCCGTCCTTCACCTGGGGTTTGGCCAGGTGTGACAATCAGCCAGCAGAGCCATTATCTTGCTAAATCAATAAAGTGACAAACTTCAAACAAGCCATTATAGATATTAGCAGATCACTGAGAATTTTTATGGATGAGTAGAAGGGAAGTTAATTTTTAGTGATCTCAGATTCAAGGAATCCACTTCTGGAGACATCCAATGGCTTAGTGACAGAAGGCACAAACCTCTGCCTCCAACAGTCCAGTCCCATGATCACGATCCATATTCCTAACAGATGATGGATGGGGATGTTGCAAAGGGAGAAGACCCATGGCTCTTCTGCAATTCAGCTCTTTAGGGGCTCTGGATGCCAAGCAAAGCCTGTTGTCCTCCAAACCAAAATGCTGCCAGACAAAGAAAAGTTATAAGTGATAAAGGCTCCTAAATAATAATTTAATTTAGATTGATTAAGATAGCTATTACACATCAATTCATTTAAATACAAATGGATTATTTGGAATGTGATCATTGAAGATTAACGACTCCTGCACACAATATAAATACATAGCTAATTATAAAGTCAAGTAGTCATTATTAATATTTCTAACGATCAATTTGTATTCAAACAACATAAAATCACCAATTCTAAGTCTCCTGCAGTCATGGTAATTGGGAAAAGAGACCATGATCTATACAGAAATCAATGGGCTCTTGAGTGCCTGGCTGAAGTCAGAGCTGTGGAGCTGAGTTTTCCGAGGCACACAACAAAACTGGGAGCTCAGATCAAGCAGAAGGAGTTATTTTTGTTATATTTTGGTTATACTTGTTGTTTTTCCTTAAGTACAGCCAGAGAGAGACTAAACAAAAAGATCACTAAAATGCTTGCTGCAGTTGGTATGTAGACGTGAGTCTAAAAGGGCACACGTTCTGAGCACAAAGAGGCACTGTAATACAACACCAGGCTAGGTTGTATCATCAGACAGGTGATAGGACAAGCACTCCCTGCCTGCAGATGAGATGTTCTCAATTAGACATGCCTAAATGCAATAGACCTCTGCAGAAAGACAGCCCAGTAATAATTTCCATTCTGAACGTCAGTTGAAAGAGCAGCAATGATTTAATACAGATCACTGGCAGTTCTGCACACCACACTGTCTTGCTGCTTGGCCGCCGCTGGAAGGAAGAGACAGTTTGACCATACTGGCACATTCCACACGAGCATTTCACTTTCAACTTGCTGCCTTCAAGACGGAGCTAGCGAATCAGCTTGTCTTCATAGATCTGAAACACAGCCTCTTGTCTCTGGTTTGACTTCTACATATTTGTGTGCAAGTAACAATTTCTGCAGTGGTTTTATTATGCAAAACAGTAATATATATTTTTTAATGTTTCATTTTTTTAGATAGGATATTTTGAGCAGAATTTTCAGGACATGGCAACAGCCTGGACTCTCTCATGCCACAGTTTACTGTGGTTTGCAATAGGATGCTCAGTCCAGCACATAAGCAAGGAAAGGCTTTCTGTTTCACTGGTAAATCTGTTCAGCTTCTTCATCTGGAAAGAGCTGAATGTAGAATACAAAAAAGCATCATTTTTTGCAGCTGGCTGAGGGGGCTTTTTGCTGCTCCTTGCAGGCACCACTGGATTTGTGATGTAGGGACTTTCGAATCTCAGTTGTTTTGCAAGAAAAAATCTTCACCTAAAAGTTGCCCGCACTTTCAGTTTTATTCCAAATCAAGAACTGGCATCTCCCCAACTCTAATTAACAGGAGCTATTTTTTGCCATCTCCAGCAGCAAAAACACAACAATTGGCCCAGAAGTAGAGCAGACACAGCTTCTGCATGACCTGCTGGGCAGTCACCATTCCCCCCATTGCACAGAAAAGAAAAAAAAAAGAAAAAAATCACACTGACCTTAATATATTTCTTTTTCCAGTGCAAAATAAATGTTGTACTAAATCACCTGCTTATCACTCACCAGGCATTTGCAAATAAATCCAGCCTTAGGTTTCAGGCTTGTCAGAAATTTTCCACCAGAAAACACTGATTAGATATAATATGCTCTGTGGGAACATATTGATTCTGTCTGACCTTTGGGTATAAAGCATGTCTGGCTTTTTACATGCACATCTCCCCAACTTTTTGAGCTTCACTGCTGCCTGTTGTCCAAATAAATAGAAAAAGGGATGTGACTGCTGGGATTTGTACACAGCTCCCAGTAGAACCAGAGTCTGAGGACATGGAGAATATGATTTCTTCAGGGGACACCGTGCAAGAGGGAGGTTGGCTGGGATTCACGAGTGCCAAAAGCTTGGGAAGGACCTCAAGCGACCATTTCTGGAGTCTAGCACCCCTTTGTTCCTAGGACCAGCTACACCCACACTTTTCCAAACTGACCCATCCTTTAAGCCCTGCAGAAGATAGCACAGTCCTGTCCAGGGAATCAATCCCACGGTGCTCCATCAGCCTTTCCATCAGCATTCTCCCAGTGCTCCCACTGGGCTGCTTCCTCACACTGCAGACAGTGAGCATGGGCTCAGCCATAAGCTGCTCAGGGCAGGACACACGTCTGTCTTGCTTTGTTTTGCCAGGACAGAGTGGAAGGAAACTCCATCCAGACCCACAGTCTCCCTTTACCCTTTAATCTTCATCCAATGCAGACAGTGTCAGATAGTCTCCTAAATCTAAAAGGACAAGACCATTACTCAGAGAAAAGCTTTGTGGCAATTGCTTGATGTTTCGCTCATTCGGAAGCTAAACCTCTACCAAAAAAATGCTCCTTCTATTCTGGGCCTCTGGCAGATCCCAGGGCAGGGCAGGAAGACGTGGTGACATTGCAGCACTCCAAGTGTATTTTAGTCTTTAGCAAAATAGACTCAGAGCTCAGGGAAAAAAAAAAGCACACATCAAAGCACCGTGCCTGGTTGAAACACCCCTGTGTTAACATCTGGCTGTCGGTGCCCAATCTCCCATGGCCAAGAAGGTGCAATTGCCATTGTCACCTCAGTGTAATCCTCTCCTGCTCTGCTTCCAATTGCAGGCAAATGGCCCCCCAGCCCTCCCAGCGCTGCCCGTGCATGGTCTGGCTCTGCATATGTTAGCAATGAGCCTGGCAGCCCATTCTCGGTGCATGAGCTCACTGCACAGAATGGACCTCCCTCTCTTTTTTATCCTTTGGCAGGGCTGCAAGCTGCTCCTGCAGCTGGGACAGTGCCTGCTGCTGCCTCAGGGCTGGTTTTCTGCTCAGAGTCCTGCACAGGGAGCTATAGGGAGGTAGGGGGGGGCTAAAGAAGCCATTTTTCAAAGTTAAAGTTGCAGTGATTCCTTTGCTTAGGGAAATGCAAACTAAATAAGGAAAAGCACAGGCTGCCTTGCATCGAACTGCATGGCTGCTGTCCTGCGCACATCTGGCTTGTAGCATCACCTGCACAGCCCCTGGGTCAAGTCAGGCATTTTGGAAGCAGACTGATAAGGTGCCACTTGTCAGAACTATCCGACACCTTTATCTTGCCATAGCTGCCTCTGCATTTTGCCAATTCTTCTTTGGTGATGTGAGAAACAGCTTGCAGCCCCATGCAGATAAGCCTTTTGCTGACCATCCAACCACTTCATCAGTGACTCCAGTTGGTCTGTATCTGCACTAGGGGTATTGTAGTGCCACTATTTTCCAGACACAGTACAGCAATTGTGAAGTGTAAATTCACATCAGTCTTCCTTTGCTTGACCCTTCTGTCAGTACACTACGGAAAAGAATGGAAAATTTCACTGCCATATTTATTTAAAGAAAAGTAATTAACCTCATGGTAGGAGAGCAAATCTCAGATGAGCCAGTATCACACTTAAATGATGAGCAGAGCCTTGCTTTCCACCTGGATACCCAGTGGAGGGGCCAGGTGACAGCGGTCACCATGCAGTGATGTCCCTTGGGGACAGGAGGCAATCCCCACATTGCACCTCACAGGTCCAGTTGCTAAATACTGTCCATCCAACACTCCTCATCCTTAGCTTCCCCCCATTCCAGTGCCCCAACAGCCAGACAACTGCTTTCAGCTGCTCCAAATGTTGGTGAGCCCGGATTCAGAGTAATTTCAGACAGGAGTGATCACTGGAGGTCTTTGGGTTATCTCTAACTTCTTCCCTATCTGTCTGCTCTCAGCAGAGCTCATATTGCTCAGGGCCCCGTGCTGAATACCTGAATATCACTGGGATTCCATCTCTGTTCTAACATTTGAATAAGTTTTTCCATATATCCACTTGCAGACTCCCTTGCTGCTACTTATGCCTCTTTCTGGATACATTCATGGCCTACTTAATGTGTTCTGCTATTGAAGGAGTAAATGCTCTGCTGGGATTTTCTTTTTAAAAGATAGGAAAGAGTCATATTTATGCAAAAATGATGGAATGTGGAATAGTGATAGAGGACTCATAGGAGTTTTTTCTTCCAGCAAAACATCCTGCAGCAAACCCAGCACTGTGAACCATACACCATGCAGAGTGCCTGTGTCAGAGTGCAACCAGCTCACATCGCAGGCACTGCTTACTGCTGGTGGGATAACTTGGCATTATTTACCTCTAACTACTTCTGCTTGTTGGCCATAGCCACTGTTGGTCTAGGGTGACCACTGTTAGCCAAGGAAAGCCGAATGAAATTCTTGTTTCATTCAGTCAGTTCAATTATGGGAGCCTCTCAGCTTGCCAAGCCTGCCCAGGCTGCAGTAAAATCACACCGGGCTTCAGCTGGGATTCCTCATGCTCACCCACTGCCCCAGCTGTGTTGTCACGCACTAAGGGGAGAGATGACCCCTTAGCAAAACACCACAGAACCTAAAACTCCTGAAGAGAATGGAATTCTTCTGCAGCATTTCATAGTCACTCACACGCAATGCGACGCAGCCCATCTGTCTCCAAAGGCAGCTCCAACAGCTGGACTTCTGCAAGCACACCGAGATCCTGCCTGTTCATTCACAGCGCAAATAAATGGGTTAATTATCTTTTTTTTTTTTTTTTTTTAATTACACAATCTCTTATTAAATGCCAATAACGAAAGGAAGTGTCTGCCCCACAGATAAGATTATGCCACATTCCTAATTTGACTTTTTGAGGCAGCAGATAAACCTCTCAGCCATTTTGAAATATGAATTTGTCATTCATAATGGTAATAAATAATGCAAACGGAATGTGTGGTTATACTGACATTATCACCTCGTCATCGCTTAAAGGCACTCCGGGCATGAATATGTGCCACTATAACCTCGACCTCTGTGATAAATTATTGCCCATCACAATCCTATCTAACACCAGGGAATGGATGAGCACTGGAAGGACATTATGGTTATAGCCACAGTTCTTTGCGGCTGCAATGCAATTACTGCAGCTATTGCTGAAGTAGCGAAGGATG